TGTGATAGCGTTGCCAAACTTACTTCGGCGCGTACTAATGGTGCGGATGTTGGTATGATTCTTAATTCGTTCCGAACTGTCACCCATCAGCAGCATCATCAGCAGCATCATCATCACCAGCATCAACATCATCATCAGAAGCATCGTCCTCCTGTTCTTCCGCCTCTTTCTCCCCCGCCCCTCGCCCTCGCATCGCATCTCAGCAGGGGGCCGCGTCGAGCAGCAGATGCGATCCTAAGCGCAGGTCAAAGCCGACCTGAGGGAGAGCGAAAGAGAGATGGATAAAGAGGGTCAGAGAGAGAGAGAGAAAGAGGGAGAGAGAGAGAGAGAAAGAGAATGAGAGAATGCCTCTACACATTCCTTGCGGTCGTCAGCATGGTTTCTGCTCGTGCTGGGAAGACGGGTCAAGGTCATCCAATTCCTCCGCCTCCCTCGTGTCTGGCCCACCGCCACCAGGGGGCGGGGGCGGTCGGCACGAACCAACCCCCTCCCGAAACGGAACCTGCCACGACTTCTTCGTTGGCCAGGCTGCGCCCGGCAGGGCGGCGACTCCGGCACGCTGCAGCCCCGCTGGAAGACATGGGGACGCATAGACTTCAACAGCTGTGAACATCCGAGTCCCATTCCATGTGTTCTCACTGACCAATTCATGTAGGACCCCATGCTTCACGGTTGAAGGCCCAGGCATTGCAACAACAAGGGTTTCTGCCTGGGCGAACTTGCATCTGGCCGCAATCGAGCCCCGCGGCTTTGCGACAACACGCCGTTACGACAGGAGTTGCCCCACAACGGTATGGCCACCGATGTATCCATCGAGTGGGGTGACCCTCACATCTGCCATAACATCGGGCTGTTCCCTCATACCCTTCCCCCCCACTCCTCTCAGATTCCCTCGGCGGAATGCTGGGTAGCTGCTCAGCAGCGCACGCAAAAGTTGAGCGAGAGCATGGGGTATTGCTGAAAGGCAAGGGGGGAGGTGGTCAGTGAGGGACGGCCCTCCTTTAAAACAGTAGGCACCGATTGCGCTGTTAACCCAGCGCCGTTACGACGGAATGTATATTCTCAGCAGCTTGGAGCACCCGAAACATAGACCCGTAGCGATGCTGTTGAAACCACCATGCCTGAGATCAGCTGCACCAGGCATTGCCAACTAGTTGACGTTTACACCAAGACGGGGGCGCCATTACAGCACATCGGCTCCAAACCCCCTCCACACCCCCTCCATTCCCTCCTCCAACCCGCCACCCCAACCGAACATCGGCTGTCCAGAATGCAACAGCTGCGAGATCGTGGACGGCGTGATGAGATGAGATAGGGAGGGAGGGACCATGGTGCTTAAAGGAAAGAAGGATGATAAGGTGTACAGGGCGATGGGAGGACTGAGTTGCCCATCAAATCTGGACCGAAATTATGTCCAGCGCCGCTGCGACAGAACATGCGTTAAGTTGGGCTGAAGGCACGGCTCCGTTACGTTACGACAGCATCTGCCACCAATAAAGACGCCCACTCGTAAATTGCACATTAATGCGACCCTGGGTTCTGAATCGACGCTGCGGTGCAAAATCTAATGCTTCAGCCCGGCAGGAAAGCATGCGGAGTGAGCCCTCACAACACACGGGCTGCAGCGAACAGCACATGTATGGTTGCCGCGCTGTTACCCGCAAGCGTCGCATGTCACATTGTCCAGGACTGGAAGAACATGTCGCATCCGCGTGCCCCTTTTGCATCGCACGCACAAGTACGAGATATCGTTCTCGGTATAAGAAGTCGTATCCATGATAATCTGCTCTGCTGTAACGACGTTGCTTTTGGAGGAATCCCGAAGGTCGGCGTCGCAGTCGGAGACCATGACGAGGCTGCTGGCCGCGCGGCCATCGGCACAGCAGTCGGAGACCCGGGTGGTGCTACACATCGTGCGGCAGTTCTCGGAGCTGTCGTTCGGCAAATTTACATACTTAGTGGCCGGCAGTGCTCTCAGACGAGATCGAGGTATAGGTTATTTCTTCGTTCGGCTCCGTATCACGATGGACAGTAACTGCTGCGCACCGACGGGACTGTGGAAGAGACCTCTGCAGAAGTGTGCGCGCCCTGTCCCAGAACTCTTCGTACACGCTGGCCTCATGGACGTCTGCACAACGGTGATAGCAAGCACCTCGGGGGCATGATCAGCCAACGCTGTAGCCCACGCAAACGACGCTTCAAAAATCGGAAACCTGTTTCACGGCTTGCTGGCCCAACGCAGCAAGAGCGGCCCCGGCGCTCGTGTGAGCCAGCCCGACATCACCCATGATGAAACAACAAATGGCGGCGTCGATGTCGGTCTGATTGAACACGCCGTTGTAGTTCGACCGGGTGTCGACCCACTCTGAAGTTTGCGTCGCCACATGTACGCACACCAGGAGAATATCAAATAGCTCGGCCTACTGCTTGGCATTGCTCTCACCCGTAGCGGCGAGCGGCCCGATGCTGCGAGCGGTGCCTTCGGAGAGGTTCATTTCCCCGCCATTGGTGAAGATGGACTCGGCGTCGGTCGTACTGCTTCGCCCTCCAACAGCATCAAGCTCGGCGCTCATACTGTCTATCCGTAATTCCTGGTGCCCGACGATGCGCAGCACAGCACCACGCAAGCTCGGCATCCAAGCGAGCCAAGTAGGCCTTCACGCTCTCCTCGCTGATCTTCTCGACCAGCCCCAGCGTGGCATCCCACTCTAGAGGAACAAACAACGGAATAAACACAAACTTTCGGCGCTCCGCGAGGATTTCTTGGATCCGCGCCTGACCCTCCTCCCCGGCGCGCAGAGCGCGCCAGGGGCGGCGCTGGAGGCACCGCCAGGGGGGGCCCAGCGCGGATCCAAGAAATCCGCGTGGATCGCCAAAGTTAATGTTCGTGCAGTTTTTCCTTCTTCGACACGCACGCATCAGCCTCTTCCACGTCGAGCTCTGCTCTCCTGGGGCTTTGGCGTTCGCGCTGTCAGTGCTCTGCTAGGGCTCTGCAGGGTCGTCCGTGCCTTGCTTCTGCATGCCCGAGCTCCGCAACTGCCTGCACGCCCTCCTGTGCTCTGCCGAGCTCTCGCTCTGACGGACACTGCGCAGGCCTGAGGACAGCTTGAAGAGGTCCCTTCCAATGCCAGCCTCTTCCACGTCGATCTCGTGCGGAGCGCCACACCAGCTGCAGAGAGGCCCTGGAGGGGGCCTGCCTCCGGCGCGAGCCACGCGCACCCATGACGGCCCTGTGGAGCCGTGCCACGAGAAGGTGGGGATCCTGCTCCAGTGGAAAAGGCAAGCAGGGGAAAGTCGGCATCGACACGCCGATCCTTAAGCCCAAGGTGGTGACTACGGAGCTCCTCCCACTCCTCTTCCTCCTCCTCCTCCTCCTCCTCCTCCTCCTCCTCCTCCTCCTCCTCCTCCGTATAACTACCCCTCCTTCTAGTCTAGTCCCCCCCCTCCTCCGCCCTCCCTCCTTCCTCCCTCCTCGACCTCCTCGGTCTCAAGAGCCCCACCTTCCCCAGGAGGGCCCCCCGGGCGATCGGCGTGAACCGCGCCTTGATCTCTGAACCTGCCCTGTCCGAAGGCCTCCAGCGTCTTGAAAACAAAAACGGCCCTGGGGAAGGGACGGCAACCTCCGAGGCCCGCGGAGTGAACAAGATCACTCCGGCGGAGGTCCGGGCTTGACGCCGCCCACCTGGAACGAGCGGAAACTCGTCTTCACCTTCCCGCAGCTCAGCTTGAACTGCTTGACAATATTCGATATCTTCTCGAAACGGTGGGAGTCCTCGATGCATCTCCTCGACGAGTGGGAGATCAGCAGGAATGTGTTTTTCTCGAAAAGGACGACCTCGTCCGCCTCGCAGGGCCAGCATGTGGTCCAGCCTTCCCCTGAAATACCTTCTCTCTTCTCTTTTCTCACCCTCCCAACATTTCCGCACTCTACTCCATACTCCATGCCTCCTTCTCCCGCGTCCCTCCTCCCTTCATGCCTGCCCCAACTCCTCTTTCCCTCCCTCCCCCCTTCTATCCCACTGTCCCTCCCTGCCTCCCCCTTCTCGGCCTCACAGACCCGGCATATGTGCTCCAGCTGCGAGCTCAGCTGGTCAATCTCAGGAATCAGCGAGTTCACTATCTGAGACCAGGCCTGGGGCTGGGAAGTGCACGCCGGCAACTCCTCGCCCCTACTCCCTCTCCCTCCGGCCGGTGAGAATGCGGCGGTGGAGGTGGAGCAGGAACAGGGTGCAGGGTGGGAGGGGGGAGAGGCTAAGGAGGATGAGGAGAGGAGGAGGAGGAGGAGGAGGAGGAGGAGAAGGAGGAGGACGAGGAGAATGAGGAGGAAGAGGAGGAGGAGGAGGAAGAGAGGAGAAGGAGGCGAAGGAGGAAGAGGAGGAGGAGGAGGAGGCGGTGGAGGTGGAGCAGGAACGAGGGTGCAGGGTGGGAGGGGGGAGGATGAAGAGTATGAGGAGAGGAGGAGGAGGAGGAGGAGGAGAAAAAGGAGGAGGAGGAGAAGGAAGAGGAGGAGGAGGAGGAGGAGGAAGAGAGAGAGAAGGAGGAGGAGGAGGAGGACGAGGAGGAGCAGTAGGGAGAAGGAGGGGGGCATGTGGAGAAACGAGCAGCAGTGACGAAGGGGGGGAGCTGCATGTTGATGCTTTAGCAACTATCTATTGCCCCCAGATGGGGTGGGAGTAGGTGGGGTCGGAGGATTGCACCGCATCGCAGTTGGCGTGGAGAACATCGGGCTCCACATCCAGCCGCATCGCAGAGACATCGGCGATGCATCGGCGATGCATCGGCGATGCGGCGCGATCCTCCGACCCCATCTAGGACGACAAACGTATGTCATGATAGGATTGGCTCAGGAAACGTTTCAGGATTCCAGGAAGCAGTCGGACTTCTTGGAAGCCCTGGAAACCCAGGAACGTATCAGTATCATGACCTCTTCTTGCTCCTCTGACACATCTATTCCGACCCCATCTGAGAGGCCTGGAACGTTTGACGGTCCGCGCGGACTCTTTGGATCTGCGCTGGACCCCCCTCCCAAGCGCGCGGAGCACGCCAAGGGCGGCGCCGGAGGCGCCGCCAGGGGGCCCATCGCGGATCCAAGAAATCCGCGCGGAGCGTCAGAAGTATATGTTTATGCCATTGATTCGTCTTCGAATCTTGGAACGTACCCTTATCATGACCTCTTGCTCCTCTGACAGATAATACTCCGACCCCGTCTGAGAGGCCTGGAACTTTCGACGGTCCGCGCGGATTTCTTGGACCTGCGCTGGACCCCCCTCCCTGGCGCGCGGAGCACGCCAAGGGCGGCGCCGGAGGCGCCGCTGGGGGGGCCAGCGCCGATCCGAGAAATCCGCGCGGAGCGCCAGCAGTTTATGTTTGTAGCGTTTCTTCTTCTTCTTCTTCTTCTTCTTCTTCGAATCCGGGAGGCCTGGAACTCTGACTCCCAAGCCGTCGATCCCATCGTCTATATAAAGGTTCTTCCAATGCGGGGCAAAAACGGCATAAACATAAACTTTCGACGGTCCGCGCGGACTTCTTGCATCTGCGCTGGACCCCCCCTCCCTGGCGCGCGGAGCACGCCAAACGTGGCGCCGGAGGCGCCGCGGGGGGGCCCAGCGCCGATCAGAGAAATCCGCGCGGGGCGCCAGCGGATTATGTTTGTGGCGTCTCGTCTTCCTCAAGTCTGGGAGGCCTGGAACTCTGACTCCCGAGCCGTCGACCCCATCGTCCATGCTTACGTTCTCCCGTGAGGTCTCCAGCATGCACTATGCAGTGCAATGCTATCTTTATGTCGGGCGTGTCCCCCTACAGGGGGATCTTCGGCGAAACAATTAAAACAAAGTTTAAGAAATGCCCCAAAAAGGTCTAAAAATACTCAAGAAATAGTCCCTGGACTACTTTTGGACTATTGTTTGACTATTTTGGGGGAATTGTTTATTCTTCGTCGAAACTCCCCCTGTAGGGGGACAGGCCCGACTTGATGCTACCTCTACTGTCCGCTTGCGTTGCGCAGTGCGCTCTGCCGACGGGGTGTGATTCAGAGGGGGAGGCCACGGCGCTCTCTGCGCCTCGAGCGTCGCAGGTCAAAGTCCGGTCCAAATGTGAGGCCCTCTTCGCGCCGTGGGCTGCTGAAGGGGCCCAGGGACACACAAATCAATGCACACAAAGAACAGGACTCCCCATATTTTCCCATAGCTTCTTAGTTTTCGTCTTCCCCCCCCACTTCCCATATTTTCCCATATTTTCCTGGGAGTCGACGATTACTTGTGTCTGTGTGTGTTGTTTGTCCCTCCTGACTACAAAGGTTCTCTTCGCGCCGTGGGCTGCCTCCGCCGATGGGCCCCCCGGGGGCCCGAGCGGGCCCCGAGCCCCCAGCCTCGAGAGACAGGGCCCACACGCGGGAGCACGGCTACCGCCCTGGCGCTGTTCTCGGGACTCCTGCGAGGCGGGAATTTATCCATATCCACCGCCTGGGAACCGACGTCCTGGTGACCCAGCGGGCGGTGGATATGGATATACTTCGGCCCCCGGGGGCCCGACTATGTCCATATCCACCGCCTGCCGAGGCTCCGGAAACTGACCTTCCAGGCGGTGGTCATGTATAAATTCCCGCCTCGGGACTCTGGCCAAACATCGGGCTAGCGTTGCGTCGGGCATGTCCCCCTACAGGCGGATCTTCGACGACAAATAGAAAATTGATACAACATACCACCAGCATAAACAAAAATCGTCAAACAACCGTCTCCAGACTATTTTTAGACTATTTCTGAATGTTCTCCTGTCGAGGGACAGGCCCAACTAGAGGCCAACGACAGAGTAAGAGCTCGACCACAAGAAACCCGCCACAAGAGACCCAACCCAGCGACCGCAGGACGTCCCTTGATTTTTGGTGTGGTGACGTCGCGCTGTCCATAGCGAAACCATCAGACCCAAGAAACCCAGGGCATCTTGGTATGGGTTTCCACTGTAGGGGAACAAACAATTACATCAACGTAAAAATTCAGAATTCCGCATGGTTCCTCGCTCTCGTCGAGGCGCAGCTGCCGGAAAGCACCCCGAGGACCAGAAAACCTCCGAAACCAAAACCTTCAAGTCGCCACCTCGGGAGATCCAAATAATTCCGAAAGCACCGAAGACATCCGATGAACTTCCGAGCAAAAGCCATGGAAATCTCATGCTGATATCCAGAAGCCTTCCGAAAACACTCGGACACATCGGGAAACGCCATTTTCTTGTGTGTATATATATATATATATAATCTGGGATGGTGACCTACAGGGACCCACCTCCAGGGACCCTCGGCCCCGCGCCGACGGCCCCTCCTAAAACCGACGACGCGCGACTATCCAGTAGCCCCCCAAATCCTGGATCCTCGGTCCGCGATCGGGCCTTGAACAAGGTCTCGTCCCAGATGGAGGTCCCGAAGCAGGTGACGTTCTGCCCCGGCGCGGCGGCACGCAGGTCCTGCTCGTACCTCTTGAGGACCTCGTCCCGCTTGCTCTCGTGGACCTCCCTCCAGGGGAGAGGGACGAGGAGGGGCGAACGAACGAACCACCACGGCTTCGGGCAAGCGTCGGGGCCTAGCTTTAGGTCGGGCATGTCCCTCTACAGGCGGAGTTTGGACGAAACATAAAAGATGTTTAAAAATGTTCAAAAATTGCCCCCCCCCCCCCCCCCCCCCTCCCAAGAAAAAAAACAACAACTCGTCCCCATACCTTAGTGGGCCCCGGAAACGGCAGGACCGTTTTTTCACCGTTTCCCCCCCCCAAAAAAAGCCCCTGAAAATGAAAACGGCAAAAAAACGGCGACCGGAAACTGCAAAAAAACGGCTCCAGGACTGGAACCGGAGCCGGAACCGGTCAAAAAACGGCGACGGAACCAATAAAAAACGGCGTAAGAACCGGCAAGAAAACGCCAAAACGGAACCGGTAAAAAAAACGGCCCTGTCGTTTCCAGGGCCCACCCCCCCAGCAAGAAAAAGAGAAAAAGAGGAAGGAAAAAAAAAAAATTATCCTGGCGAAAGACCCAACCATAAGCAATTGTTGGTAACGCGTTGTGGGTGCCGCTTTCGGTGGGGCTCCATATGGGGCCACGAAGCGCTGCCTTGGATGGGGGAACCGCATGCGGACTGCGCCACCGGGGCGGGCCTTCGGTGGAGCTCCCTATGGGGCTACGAAACGCTGCCCTGGGTGGGGGAACCGCATGCGAACTGCGCCACTGGGGCCTTCGGTGGAGCTCCCTATGGGGCCACGAAACGCTGCCCTGGGTGGGGGAACCGCATGCGAACAGCCACTGGGGCCTTCGGTGGAGCTCCCTATGGGGCCACGAAACGCTGCCCTGGGTGGGGGAACCGCATGCGAACACCCCCACTGGGGCCTTCGGTGGAGCTCCCTATGGGGCCACGAAACGCTGCCCTGGGCGGGGGAACCGCATGCGAACACCCCCACTGGGGCCTTCGGTGGAGCTCCCTATGGGGCCACGAAACGCTGCCCTGGGTGGGGGAACCGCATGCGAACACCCCCACTGGGGCCTTCGGTGGAGCTCCCTATGGGGCCACGAAACGCTGCCCTGGGTGGGGGAACCGCATGCGAACACCCCCACTGGGGCCTTCGGTGGAGCTCCCTATGGGGCTACGAAACGCTGCCCTGGGTGGGGGAACCGCATGCGAACACCCCCACTGGGGCCTTCGGTGGAGCTCCCTATGGGGCCACGAAACGCTGCCCTGGGTGGGGGAACCGCATGCGAACACCCCCACTGGGGCCTTCGGTGGAGCTCCCTATGGGGCTACGAAACGCTGCCCTGGGTGGGGGAACCGCATGCGAACACCCCCACTGGGCGGGGGAACCGCATGCGAACACCCCCACTGGGGCCTTCGGTGGAGCTCCCTATGGGGCTACGAAACGCTGCCCTGGGTGGGGGAACCGCATGCGAACACCCCCACTGGGGCCTTCGGTGGAGCTCCCTATGGGGCCACGAAACGCTGCCCTGGTGGGGGAACCGCATGCGAACACCCCCACTGGGGCCTTCGGTGGAGCTCCCTATGGGGCTACGAAACGCTGCCCTGGGTGGGGGAACCGCATGCGAACACCCCCACTGGGGCCTTCGGTGGAGCTCCCTATGGGGCTACGAAACGCTGCCCTGGGTGGGGGAACCGCATGCGAACACCCCCACTGGGGCCTTCGGTGGAGCTCCCTATGGGGCCACGAAACGCTGCCCTGGGTGGGGGAACCGCATGCGAACACCCCCACTGGGGCCTTCGGTGGAGCTCCCTATGGGCCTACGAAACGCTGCCCTGGTTGGGGGAACCGCATGCGAACACCCCCACTGGGGCCTTCGGTGGAGCTCCCTATGGGGCCACGAAGCGCTGCCCTGGGTGGGGGAACCGCATGCGAACACCCCCACTGGGGCCTTCGGTGGAGCTCCCTATGGGGCACGAAACGCTGCCCTGGGTGGGGGAACCGCATGCGAACACCCCCACTGGGGCCTTCGGTGGAGCTCCCTATGGGGCTACGAAACGCTGCCCTGGGTGGGGAACCGCATGCGAACACCCCCACTGGGGCCATCGGTGGAGCTCCCTATAAAGCCAGGAAGCGCTGCCCTGGGTGGGGGAACCGCATGCGAAACAACGAACCGCATGCAAACACCCCTATTGGGACCTTCGGTGGAGCTCCCCATGGGGTGCCACGAAACGCTGCCCTGGGGGGGGAACCGCATGCGAACACCCCCACTGGGGCCTTCGGTGGAGCTCCCTATGGGGCTACGAAACGCGTGAGAGGTGTGCCGAGAGCAGAGGCAAGGAGGGGGAGGAGGGAGGAGGGGGAGGAGGAGGAAGGAGGAACGCGGGGCACCGTCTCTTCAAAACGAGGACCCAACACCACAGGATGGTTGGGAAAAACGCCATGCTCGTTTTGACCTATCTTTGAATCTCCCCCCTGTGGAGGGACTCGCCCGACTTAAGCCCAGATCGGGCCAGGCGGGAGGAGAGGCCGTGGCCTCTGGACGCTGGCGCGCCTGGACGCCGCGTGGCCGCGCGAGGCGAGGAAATCGTTGGGAGGGGACGAGGGGGAGGGAGGGGAGGGAGGAGGGAGGGAGGGAGGAGGAGGAGGGGAGGAGGAGGGAGGATGGAGGAGGAGGGGAGAGGGGGAGGAGGAGGAGGAGGAGGAGGAGGAGGAGGGGGAGGAGGGAGGAGGAGGAGGAGGAGGAGGAGGAGGAGGAGGAGGAGGAGGAGGAGGAGGAGGAGGAGGAGGAGGAGGAGGAGGAGGAGGGCGGAGGAGAGAAGAGGAGGAGGGGGAGGAGGAGAGGAGGAGGAGGTGGAGGGAGGATGAGAGGAGGAAGGAGGAGGGAGGGAGGAGGAGAGAGGGAGGGAGAGGGAGGGAAGGGAGGGAGGAGGAGGGAGGGAGGGAGGGAGGGAGGGAGGGAGGGAGGGAGGGAGGAGGAGCCGTCTTCACTTCTAGAGGTTCCCGAGCTTTTTCTCCCGTTTTCTCGTTAGTTCTTGTGATGTTATCCTTGATTTCTTCATTATTCTCTCTCTCTCTCTTCTCTCTCTCTCTCTCAGTCCATCCTTCTTTCTTTCCCTCCTCCTCTCCTCATCCGTCTTCTCCCCCCCCCTTTCCTCATCCGTCCTCCGTCCTCTCTCCCGTTCTCTTTCCCTTCTCCCCCCCAGCCAATGCAATGCAATGCGATGCGATTGCAATGCAGCGCAATGCGACAGCAACGCAATGCCTTTGCAATGCAATGCGATTCTAATGCAATGCGATTGCAATGCGATTGCCATGCAATGCGATTGCCAAGCAATGCGATTGCAATGCAATGCGATTGCAATGCAATGCCAAATAGAAGAAGGGACTTGCACTCAAGTATCCGGGTGCCCGGCGGCGGCAGGGGCTTACACTAAAGTATCCCGGGGCACGGCAGAGACTTGAGGGAGGGAAGAGGGAGGAAGAGAAAAGGAGGAAGAAGGACAATGAGGGGGAAAGATGTAGAAGAAGGGTGCGAGAGAGGGGAAAGTGGATGCTTTCATCGAAGCAATCATTTCAGCAGTACTTCTGATGATGTCTTGCGGTTCATCCCTCCCGCCTCTCCCCACATCCCTTTGCAATTTGAGTTGCCTTCTTCTTGGCTCCTTAGCCTCGATTGTGCTATTCTTGTTGCTGGCGATTGTACCCTCGACATAAAGTCCAAGACTGCCATGGGGAACCCGCCGTACGGGAGTAAGAAGTACTACGAGAAACTCCAGGCCCAAGCGGATTGCACAAAAAAAACAATTATCCTGGCGAAAGACCCAACCACAAGCAATTGTTGGTAACGCGTTGTGGGTGCCGCTTTCGGTGGGGCTTCATGAGGCCACGAAGCGCTGCCTTGGATGGGGGAACCGCAGGCGGACTGCGCCACCGGGGCGGGCCTTCGGTGGAGCTCCCTATGGGGCTACGAAACGCTGCCCTGGGTGGGGGAACCGCATGCGAACTGCGCCACTGGGGCCTTCGGTGGAGCTCCCTATGGTGCCACGAAACGCTGCCCTGGGTGGGGAAGCGCATGCGAACTGCGCCACGGGGGCTTTCGGTGGAGCTCCCATGGGGCCACGAAGCGCTGCCCTGGGTGGGGGAACCGCACTGCGAGAGCAGCCACGGGGCCTCGGTGGAGCTCCTATGGGCCACGAAACGATGCCCTGGTGGGGGAACCGCATGCGAGAGCAGCCCTGGGGCCTTCGGTGGAGTCCCTATGGGGCCACGAAACGCTGCCCTGGGTGGGGGAACCGCATGCGAACACCCCCACTGGGGCCTTCGGTGGAGCTCCCTATGGGGCCACGAAACGCTGCCCTGGGTGGGGGAACCGCATGCGAACACCCCCACTGGGGCCTTCGGTGGAGCTCCCTATGGGGCTACGAAACGCTGCCCTGGGTGGGGGAACCGCATGCGAACACCCCCACTGGGGCCTTCGGTGGAGCTCCCTATGGGGCCACGAAACGCTGCCCTGGGTGGGGGAACCGCATGCGAACACCCCCACTGGGGCCTTCGGTGGAGCTCCCTATGGGGCTACGAAACGCTGCCCTGGGTGGGGGAACCGCATGCGAACACCCCCACTGGGGCCTTCGGTGGAGCTCCCTATGGGGCCACGAAACGCTGCCCTGGGTGGGGGAACCGCATGCGAACACCCCCACTGGGGCCTTCGGTGGAGCTCCCTATGGGGCCACGAAACGCTGCCCTGGGTGGGGGAACCGCATGCGAACACCCCCACTGGGGCCTTCGGTGGAGCTCCCTATGGGGCTACGAAACGCTGCCCTGGGTGGGGGAACCGCATGCGAACACCCCCACTGGGGCCTTCGGTGGAGCTCCCTATGGGGCCACGAAACGCTGCCCTGGGTGGGGGAACCGCATGCGAACACCCCCACTGGGGCCTTCGGTGGAGCTCCCTATGGGGCTACGAAACGCTGCCCTGGGTGGGGGAACCGCATGCGAACACCCCCACTGGGGCCTTCGGTGGAGCTCCCTATGGGGCTACGAAACGCTGCC